CGGGCTCGTGGATTGAAGTCCCTCGGGGAGGGCAACGTAGTACCCACCAGCCGCAGGAAGAGTCCGGGCTCGTGGTTTGTATCGTTTTTATTTTTTTTATTTTTTATTTTTTTTATCCGTCCTCTCATTTATAGTCTCCATCATTCACCATCCGTTTTTATTTTATTTCATTTGATTTTGGTTAACTTTTCTTTTGGATCAAACATCAACCCCTCCATCTCCATAGTTGGCCGAACACCTCACCCCTAGCCTCTTCCCTCCTCCACAAATTTTGAATTTTGAATTCAAAATAGCCTCTTGATTACCTTCCTAAATTAGATTTTATTAATTTGGAAAATCATTCAGTTTTGAATTCAAATAAATTTGAACTTCAAAACATTTCCAATTTAATAAATTCTACATTAGGGAGCCTCCTCAAATTACTCTCAATCTGAAATTAATTTCAGATTTAATTCGCCCCATACCATTTAATGCTTGATCCACATACGTTGTATGTGGACACTTATCCTCCCTCTCCATATGGCCGGCCCCTTCTCTCACCTCCTCTCTAATTAATGCCTCTCCATTAAGGCCCTCAATCAACTCCAATCACCCCTAATAATCGCCGATCCCATCCCTCATCAAATCCTAATTAATCCCTTCCCAATTAAGGTGATTTGAAATTCAAATTTTCCCTCCACTCTCCCCCTTTTTTGAAGTCTGAAATTAAATTCATATTGTAATTTTCAAATGACCCCTCCCCCCATATCCATTCTACATCATAAGGACCTCTCTGATGCGTAGTTAATGGCCATTCTGAAATAGATAGAGTTAAGCAGGAAATAGAATGTAAAAGAGGATAAGAGTTAAAACGTGTAGAGGAAGGGAGCAACCAACTAGAATTGGGGGTTAACGCTGATGATGCAGGGGAAGGAAAGAAGGAAATGAGGAGAATAGGAAGAGAGAAATAGAGATACAACAAGAGGTGAAGATAATAAGATGGTGAAGTAAAAATCGGTTTGTGCTTTTGAAACTCAGTTTTGGATTAGCAGAGAGGAGATTTGGCAGAGTGATTGGGCAGAATTTAGGAGAGTGAGAGAGATCTGCAGGGAAATGGGCTACATTCCTCCTTTATTTTCCCCTGGCATTCTCACTCGATATCTAATTTTTTTTCTATCATTCATTAACAGCTTCTTCTCCTTTTGATCATTTTTGGATATCGTTCAACAGAAAATAAGTAGCAAAGCTTTGGTGGTAAACATCTGGAGTTCCCTTGACATCACATTAGCTCAATCCCATAATCAATACGGGGATTTCCTACTTTCCTTCAGCCATTTGGATATGATTTCCATAGTCAAGCTAGCTTGCAGTACATTGTTGCTTTTGGGCTGATAAGCAAATGTTATAGATATGTTAATAGTTTAGTGAAGCATGGTCTTGTTTCTCGTCATAATAGGTCTCATTTTGTAAGTCTATAATGTTTGGCTTTCTTCATGCTGTATTCTAGATTTAAACTCTAGGAAGAATTTTTCATATAGGGTATTATATTTTTCATTGAAACAAAAAGATAGACTGATGTTTGCTTCCCAAATATCAGAAAAGGCATACTTTTCTTTGTAAGAATTAAATGAAGCGTACCTTTTGTTTCGATCGAAGTCCCTTGAACTGCACATGCATGGTGTTTGCTACAATGACATTTGTCTTCAATTCTCATGCATTCTGTTAGAGGTAATATGGAAATATAAATTAAGTGAATAACAAGTATGATATGGTAATTCTGCAATCAATTTATGGTGGCTAAAATGTGTAATTGAATTGCAATGCGGGATGTACTTTTATTAATTTATTAACTTGTTTTTCTTTTTCTTTCTTAAATATCTAATTTCTTCCAAGTTCTTAACTGTCTTTCTTCTTTTGTTGAATGCCAAATAAATTCAGGATTTTGGCATGAAAATTTAATGAATGATCTTGCTGACGCAGAGTAGGAGCTTCTTCTCTGGGTTTACTCGATTGTGCAAGGGCCTTGCTTTGGTACTTGTTGCTGGACATTCTCTACTGCAGTTATTTCCTTTTGCTGTTTCCTATCTTGCACTTATTCCAGCAAGGTAATATCTAAAGGCTATTTCATCTCATAAAGTAGCATATGAATTGGTTGTTTCATCCGTCACATAGAGGAAGAGTGTTGTTCCATTTACATGCACTAACGCATGCTCTTTTGTACCTCTGGTTAAATCATCCAACGCCAACAGTGGCCAAAGCAATATAGGGCACTAGATGCTAGTGAAAAATTATTCATAGGTTTACATCGCATGATTAAGTAATCTTTGAAAATTCATACAATTAAAGATTGAGCATGAACTTTGTTCTGCGTTGCTAATTTGAAGTCCACTTCCCAAGATTGAAATCTAAAATATACATCAAAGGGAAAACCCTGCACATTCTTCCAGCACATTAGATATTAGATGTACATGTTAGTAGGACGTCATATATGGAAAAACAATCAACCAATAAATGAGTTGAGTTAAATAAAGTACTCTGAAGATACTTAACATAGATTAACCAACATTACACCGGTCTTAAAAATTCAGTAATGGCCAAAAATTAAAACAACCATGAATAGAGAAGCGGCAAAAAATACTGGTCATTAATAGTCATATGGCCCATTCAATAAAACTGTTTCTCCAATAACTCAAAAATCGTCATTTTCCAATCCATGCTCTTCTTTCTATTGGTCATATTCTTCATCAAATCTTATGTGAACGCTTCAAACAACCACGTGATTTGTTGATCGCTGTGAGGTGGACGCCCTTGTTGATTTTCATTTTCCTATTTGCTTATTTGCTTGATTGTTTCTCTTATTCTCAAACAAAATCTTGGAATGCAGAAGTTGGTGATGGTGTGAGGGGCTTGCATCAGTCTTTCATGCATATTTTGTTCTCATATCCCTGCATAAATTTGTAAATAAGTTTTGATAACTTTGCAATGTTTGCATGTTTTTTTCTATAGCATTACACATTATTAATTTTAACTGAAACCTTATATTTATCCAGATCTATCTGCTAAAGTTTTAACGTAATTTTGATTCTGATGAAAAGGTGATGTTAGCATTTTTTTTACCCGAGCCACTTGAGCATGCAATAGAGGCGCTCATACCTATATATTCCCTCTTTTGAACTTTTCTAAGCTTTTCCCTGAGTGTCCATATCCAAATTGCTTTTGTCTCAAAACATATCGTGAAGCCTATGAGCTTGTATTTTGAATTATGCATTTGCATTATTTCGTCAAAAGCTTATAAATTTCAGAATCATTATCACCATTGATAGCCTTATGCTAACTATTTGGCATCAGCTTTATAAATTCTCAGTCTCCATTGGCTCTTGTTGAATGCTCTTTGAGGTGTTGAAATACATGATGGGTAAATCTTTTTGCTCAAGTTATATTAGTGTTATATTTTATCTACTCTTTTTACTTACTGATATTTTCCCGCATTAAATTTATCTGCCTGTCTATTTAGTGCATCTCCTACTATTTATTGGATGTGCCCAATGCACCTACAATGTTTTCTGCTACCCTTTCTTTAACGAGTAACTCGTACAATAGCTCTTATATAAGTATTTTTGAGTCTATCCTTCATAGTTTTGCTACACTTCATCTTGATATTATCTTTTTTCCTAAAATCAACTATGCTATCAATGGCTACTTTATTTCCAGGTCTATATAAAAGGTGGTATAATTGTTGTTGTGCAAACTTTTCCTTTAAATCTCCATGGTATTCTCTTATGCATAGTTCGTTCAAGCATTTATTCATTTTACACATGAAATTTAGAAGTTACAACCTCATATACATGCCTGTTCTTATGTACAATTGATTCGAGAATCTTTTTGGCATAAAGGTTATAGCAATTCAGTGTCATATGTAAGCATTCCAATGCAATGACTTCTTATTCCTTATTAATGTGGCTTCAAGTGAATCCTAATAAGAATTAGCTTTGCACCTTGCCACTTGTAAATGTCAGTAACTAGATGTTCTATTTAAGATAGTACAAAGAATAGCGAAAGCAAGAAATCTGAGGAAGAGGGAGAGAAACGTTCACCTCTGTTGTGGTGTTGTATGTACACCCACTTAATTTAACTTTTAATAACTTTCTAGTCTTCAAACCTGGCAAATTTCTGTTGAAGGAACCAAGTTTTGGAAGAAACTTAGGTTCTTTCCCTTTCATTTTTTTCTTGATTTTAGACGCTTCTAGTCTCTCATGCCAATGCTTTCTCCATTTATCATATTTGTATTATTGTGTCCTTTGCTGTCTCTGTTGGCAAATTCCATTCTATTATCAACTGTTCGTTTCATTGGTAAATCTTATCTAGCTTTGTTGCTTATATTGGCTCCATGGTATGATAATATATTTTCCCTTTATATTGATAATATGCAGGACAATTCCATTTGCTTGGAACCTTATAACTGCCGGTTACACGGAGCAAACACTGCCCGGGGTATGTATTTTTTTAATGCTAGGCTAGTGATAGTAATTATCGTTATGTTTTGTAGGTAACTAAATCCATTTCGTTTTAAAAGTAATGTGATCACATCTGTTGTTTTTCATGTTAGTCCTAGTATATTTATCATGAAGTTTGCTTGTTATAGAAAAGGTGAAATTCTATTCTGAAAATTATTCCCTTCAGTGTCGTAGTATATGTGAATTACTGGTTGCAGTATCTGCATATAAGCATGAGAGCTGGCTGCATGAATTGCTGTGGTTTAGAATTCTCACTTTTGCTAGGATCCTTCAAGTGAATGATGGAAAAAGATGTATGATGGGAGCTGGTTTCTAAAGCTTGATGTAATTTGCCATATTTCTGTTTTCTTTGAATCTGTCTCACGTTTTCCATCATGAGTTCCACTCGAACACGAGGCATATATATATAAATATATATATATATAATATATATTAAGAGTCCCACGTCAGACAGTTAAAATGGGAGAAAAAGAATCAAAATGGTCCCTTAACTCTTTGTGAGAGATCAAAAATAGTCCCAACTATTTTGAGGGGGCCAATTTGGTCCCCTCAACTCCTTCAAATGGGCTATTTTGGTCATGCTGCCAATTTTAAAACGAAAAAGTGAAATGGGAGAGGGTATTATCGGAACAAGCAAAGAAGAAGCGTGACGCAAGAAAGATGGCTACCTTTGCAACGAGCAAGCTACGTCGTCGTTACTCTAATTGTAATCGATTTGGCCAAATGGAAGTGCGCGAACAGAAGAAAGATGGTACCTTCGCAATTGAACAAGCTCTTGTATGTCGATTGTTATTTCCGATCGTAGTTGATTTGGCCGAGAAGATGCGAACGGAAAAGATGGCGACTTGCAACGAGCAAGCTTTCGTCGTCGTCGTTACTCTCGATCGAACAGACGAACGGCGAAGTGTGATTTTCGGGACCGATAGAGAAGAACATCAATTGAAGGAGGCGAAGAAGTCATTTAGCTAGTTGTTCATAACTCTACCCGTCATGCGGAGGCAGAAGTTTGAAGAAACAAATAGAGGAAGAGGGGTGAGAAATGTTAAAAAAATTAATTCAAAATATAATAATAATTAATAATTAATTAATTACTTAATAATTGATAATTAATTTTCAATTTTAAATTATATTATTTATTTTAATTAATTTGGTAACATAATAAAATTAATAGTTATAAATATAATAAAACAACCCTAGAAGTTGGTCGAGAGTTGAGAAAGAAAAGTTAATTTTTTATTATTAAAGAAATTATATATAATTACTAAAACTAAAATTATGCATAATTTTTTTATCAAAGAGAAAATTTAATAATTTTTCTTATAAAAATTAGAATTTCTAAAAATTTATATTTATTAAATATTTTAATTAAAAAAAGATTAAATTACCTTATACTTGACACAAACTCTACCATTAGAGAGCATGACTGAAAAAATATCATTTGGAGGAGTTGAGGGTCAAATTGATCACTCAAAATAGTTGTGGACTATTTTGGTTTTTCATAAAGAGTTAATGGACAATTTTGATGTTTTCCTCGATAAAATGGAGTTGTACCTCTGTGTTGTATATAAAGCAATTCTTTGAGACTCAGATTGATTTGAAATGAGAAAAGAAACAACTTATTATAACCACATCGCCACATAGGGAGGAAATGAGAGTATTAAAGATGAATACATAATAAAATTAGGTAGAAAAATTTTTACTTAGACATGAGGCTTCTCGCCAATGCAGAGAGTCTCGAGTAGCACTTATATAGGATTCGGCTATTACTTTGACATGGATACCTGAGAGCAGAAGATGCTTCAATAAAGTGGGCGAGATGGAAATAATGTGAAAGTATATGCTAAAATATTTAGACCAAATATTTCATGACATGTTTATAAAAATGATATAAATTAGCCTCAATACGACATGTTACACTTATTTTGAATGATGAAGTGAAAATTTAAATTGAGCCGAAGTAACACATAGAAGGATTTAATACAAAAAAATGATTCATAAATTGTGCCTCTGTCATTGGGAATTTGGAATAAGGCTAATGGTAGTGAAGATTTAATATTTTAAATTGCAAGATTATTCGTAACTTGTAGTATTTCTAAGAAATGACCAATTAATTTTTCGTATGATGAATCTTAATTAAGTAGGATGAATATAAATTAAATTTATTTTGACAGCCTTCTATGTTATATTAGTTATGGTCTGGTTTTTATAATCCACTTCCTTTGTCAGTATCATGGTATTTCCTTACAGAATAATGTAGTTAGCTTGGGCTTTTTTCATAAATGAATCATTGCTTAGTAAGTAAATGGAGACATGCTTTGGGTTATAGATAAAAATTCTGCAAAAAATCTTTAATTGATTTTTGAGGTAAACGGAGAAAATAAATAGTAAATGATCAAACTAGTTCTTAGACTTTTTAAGTTTGCCTATTTTAGTTCCCAAAAAATTTCAAGTATTCAATTTAGTCTGTCAACTCACCAAATATAAAGCAGTTTGGTCCTTCGGCTTTATGGTTTGCTTAAAACGGAAATTAGTGACATGATCCTTTTCATGAGGGCATTTTGGACTGTTTTGGGTCAAATCCAGTAGTTTAAGCTTATTTTATATATATATATATATATATATATATACTATTAGTCTAAAAATGTCGAATGGGTCCTTACTCTATGTAGGTTACCTATTTTTCCTCCAAAAACATTACTTACAGTCATGGGTTTACTCTCAGTCATCATGGTGTATGAATTTCAATTTATTTGATTTAACTTTACTATGTAAATATATAATGCAGTTTAAAAAATTAATGATAATAATAATATTACCATCAAAAACCATTCTAAATTAAATTCACATATTTATATTTGCAATTTTGAATATCATTGTATCAAACATGCAACATTTGGTATTAAGATCTAATAACATCAAAATGCCAGCGATGAGGTAGTTGATAATATTTGTTTACGTAGTATACATTTTAGCATATTATTATTATTATTTTTAAATTTTTTCAAAGTTCAATGAACTTATTTTCAAATAATTTAGTTAATTTGGGTGGAGAAATCTGGTTTGTCGAAAACATGATTAGGAAAAGTCATTGGAGCCATCATCATGGATGAAGAAATTTGATGATATTATACAAAAAGCGCACCATGGAATATTTTTTATCCAAGGGATGAGAGGAACACTGCATTACGATGGCTAACTCCATTTGACAATTCAAAGTGAATTATAGGTGGGATTAAGTGTACATTGATGATTTAGTAAGTAATAATATAGCAATGATTTTAGTACATTTAATAACATAGTAATGATATTTAATATTATATTTATTTTGTTGGTGATAATATATAATTAAGAAAGATATTTTAGAATATCTTGAGTTAATTTAAGAAAAATATATCAACATTATTTTTACTAATATGACAATTATTTTGTTCTAATGCAATATTATGTCATATAGTAGTCATGCTAGTTCTAAATAAAAAAAATTACATAGGGTCTGATTCAAGTTTATTCTTTTAACAATAGCAGGTTATAATACTAATAATTTTTTAGTAGTTGTTAATTATTCTTCATGTTTTGTATTGAAATATTCATGGCGGTATAGTAAAAGAGTTTATCATCTTAGTATTATAAAAAAATCCTATATACATATGAGTAGATAAGTTACAAGCAACTCATAGGAGATCGGGGATTTTTTACATGAAAATTTTACAAAAGGGAAAAATCATTGGGTCTGATTCAATTGAAATGATTTCACTAGTGTGATTCATCTTTTACAAAGGGTACATTTCCTCATAATTAGAGAATGCATTAATATGATGTAGTGGATGTGAATTATGGAAGATGGCTTAAGTGGTGGAAGTAGTGAAAGTCATGAGATGTTGGAGTTACATTAGCAAATGTTTTGTGGTCTGTTTATAAGATGGGAGATTGATGATTAGATCCCAAATTATTGGTGTTAGGCGTCAATGTTGTTGGCTATGATAATTGATAAGATCCCACATCTTTGGTGATGATGAGCTTTCGCCATGGTGGCGATAGAGGGCGTTGAACTTGTTGGCACTATTGTTCATCATACTTGTTGACGACAATGTGCAATGATGTTGTCGGTAGCAGGTGTTGGCTTTGGTGGTGATGATATTGTTGGCATCAATGTTGGGCGATAGAAAGCACCAGCCTTGATGGTGGTGGCAACAAGAATCAACCTTGGTGGTGACGATATTGTTGGCATCAATGTTGGGCTATAGCTGGCACTAGCCTTGGTGGTGGCAACAAACATCAACCCTGATGGTTGTGGCAGGCATCGACATTGTTGTTGAGGAACAATCAAATGTTCAGACCTAAGCTTCTATGACTATGGTGGCTACTCCATCCTATAAGAAATGCACTCATTACTTGGAACCAATTTTACACTCTTCTTCGGAATTAGAGGTGTTGTTCTTGCCCTTGTTAGTCCCACGGAGTTGGTCACTGCATCATCTGAAACAAGATCATTGATACTGTTTTGCATATTTTTGAAACACCTCATCTTGCTCCAATATTTGATGACATCAATGATCATAAATCGTAGCAATCTAATGATTCAAATGAGAGTATTCATAGTGATACTTTGATGGATTTGAGGTTACAAATCTTGCTGTCTCTGGTTGTATGGTTGTTTGGTTTCGGTGGGTGTTGTGGATGGCTAGTGGACTCTTCTTTTGCTATGGTTCGGTTTTGCTCTTCTTTGCTTTCTCTTTTCACTTGTGCAGGTACTTGACAGTTGATTGCGTGACAGGTGGAGACTTGTTCATTTTTCCCTGTTGTTTGTTGGTTCTTTGGTTTTGTTCTTACTTATGTTTGGTTTTTGTAATTAGATTGACTCCGAGGCTCTTAGGTTTTGATTCAAATGTTGTATTTTAGCGAGCTTTCTAGTCATTTAGGACTTGTAATTTGCTTTATTTTAATGCGCAGGCCTCTTCCATGGGGTTTTTATTAAAAAAATAAATTAAGGTTACAAATCTTGCTTTCCAAATGGAGCAGGAATGGAAATAAAATGCTATCATCACTCTCATGTATTCACTATGTTTCAATCACGACATTCCTAATGAGTGTTGTTTTATAGTTTTATGAGCCTGAGTTTCATCCTTGAAATTTTCATTTTTCTTTCAGTAATTTTTGGTAACTATTTTTTTGTGCTCATATAATTTTTTTTTACTATTTTATTATACTTCATAAAAATACTACCAGAATTTTTTCGCACTATAGAAAAGTCACTGTAAATTTAGATTAGAAGTTGGGTTGAATATTGAAACCTAAGCTTTGCAAATTTAAATAGAGGATTGCAGAAAAATCTTAAGATTTATAAATATGAATGCCAAAGTTAATACAAGTTCATAAGGGACTGGCTTTTCTTAGTGATAA